CACACACACACACACACACACACACACACACACACACACACACACACACACGCACACACACACAGGAGTGTACATGTATTCTTCGTTCACCTTAGACGTGTTAAGATCAGGACAGGCTTCACGTACATACAGTCAACGCACTTTTACAATAGCTGTACCAACGTGGAGTTGGAAAGCTACTCTGTAGCAGTATGCATTTAAAACACGACTATTGTACTGTTACGATCCGCTTATAATCAACTTCACTTGGTCAGAGATTTGTTGTAAGAAGCTTGTTTTGGTTCTGGGAAAGTGATATATGGGAATATGAGAGAGGTCGTTGTTAACTGATAGACAGATTTGTCATCAAAGTTTGCCTTTTCCCCCCGTTTTTCTTATATCCCCATTTTTGTTACATTCCATTGGTTTTTCTAACACATCATGTGGACGCTGTCGTTGTCTTTATGTTCTTCTCGTCAACGTGCTACGATAATGGCTTAAGTCAGATTTCTTTTTGAAAATTGAAGTGGCCCATCATCATTATTTTCCTTAATGGCACGATGGCCCACCAGAACAACGTGAATGCATAGACAAGTTCACAAATAAGGAATCGTCATGGTCTGAGTCTGGAAAACAATTGGAAGCAGGAAGGGTTTTTTAATTGATTCTTCTTTTTAAACATGAATTCTAAAACAAAACAATCAGTTATAAACAGCCTGTGAGATTATTTACATTCTCTACTGTGATTCCAAGCCTAATAAACCTTAAAGCTTCACCAACATAACAACTCAGGGACTATCGCATTATTGCCTTAAAAGAAACTAAAAAAGAAATATACTCTTTAGCAACCGAGATAATAGATATAACCAATCATCGACAGCAGATGTTCCTTAATGCCTCGAAGCAGTAAATGAATTACAAGCAAACCCGAAATACATTTTCCCGGGGAGTATAATTTCATTTTGCCTATATTTGGGATCAAAAGAAACAAGTTAAAGGGGACGTTTTGAGGAGAAAAGCACTGCTTATGAATGGATCTGGTTCCAAACAGTGATACAGACTTAGGTTGTCGTCGTTGCACGGTGCCGCTCTGTTTTCTTGAATAACATTTTTGGTCTGTGATGGTTAACTGAGCACAGCTTGAGTTGACTGATTTTGTTTTGCCTTCCTCCTCCACCACCACCACCACTTTCATCCTCTCTGTCCGTCATCCTTGTCCCCATCAGTGTGTGAGGGAAAGGAAAGCAGATGGTGCAATTCGATCTAGCGTTACGGAAAGGCTGTAGACCCCACCTTTGAATACAGCATTTGTAGTACACACTTGCACAGTCTTTGAAGACATAGTAACTGTCGGTGAAACATAAGTCTTTTAAGAAAGCGCGTTCGGCAACGCTGGAAGACGTGTTGTTTTGTGGCTCTTTGATTTTTTAGAAAAGCGTAACTCCGTTATTCATTCAGGTTTTTTATTTTCAATTCAGGCAACAGCATGTACATGTATATGATGAATACTAATTAGTGTTTTGTTTATGATGGTGCAAAATATGCCGCGACATTGTATTTAGTCTGCTGCTGAAAGGACAAATATTTGTAATAATAATGTGTCTGCTCCGTCCTCAAAGAGTTAACGCCTAGACTACTGGCCACTTGTGCGCGTCAGATCAAACAACAGCGCTGTAAAATTGTGACTGCGCCGTATTGCTCCCATCTCCTATCTGCCCAAATTATAATGACCAAGCTAAGACACCGCGAATACTACTCACCCTGCACGGAGCAGAGATAACTTGTTTTCAGTTTCAAAGCGCGAGCGACAGCAGCAGAAGATTACTGTGAATTAGAAGTTGCCGTCTTGTCTTTGCACCCATCTGTCTTTTTTCCCTCCCATCTCTGTGGTTCCACCCC